GTGACTTCTCGGTTGCTTGAACGCGATCCTTCAGCATCAGGACCTTGTGGTGCTGCTTTGTTTCTGGATTCCTTGATGCCATCGTCGATCCGTCTGTATGACTGGGGTGACAGAGCCGCCCAGTCTTCGTTTCTCCTCCGAGTAGTAACATCGACCAGAGAGCACTTTCGATGCGCTCTCCAAGACGTTTCCTATCATGTTTTTTCTTGACAGCGCTTGAAATTTTGACAGGTGTAGTGCAGTCCACACCGACTCCACAGCCAAAATTACCTGCGTTCATTTGTTCAGCTGTAGTATCGAAAGATTCCTTTCAGGACCATGGAAAATCAGTAAAATTTCAAGAAGGAGCTTCGAGCAACATTTGATTTCCTACATCGCGGTCGCTAGTTACGGGTCAAAAATTGTCTTTGGGACAGGAAAAGGCGGTCGCTGGTCGCGTTCAGCAGGTAGTCGCTAGCCACAGTGCATTTTGAATGTGAGACCTTCCGTGCCTGGCGAAGTGGTCGGTAGTAGCAGGCTGGTCGCTAGTCACGGTGGTCGTTAGTTACAGGTTTTACTGTACATTTTATCTCCTCCTGGGAGGATGTGGAACAAATAATGCTAGAGTGTGTCTGATACACATCACAGTCTGCTGAGTATGTTCATTATTGTGGACGTAACATAACTGCGCTGTGAGGTACCTTCTGCGTTGGACCTACAGTTGAGCCACTACTCTTCTTACACATTCCGTACAACGGTGAAAGGATTTGTTGGAGCATCATCAAACAGTGCATTCGCCTTCATCATACACTGGCTCCGTTGCCTACAGTAATTCACATCTTGACGGGGCGCGCTGGGACGATACGGAAGGAGCGGCGGGAACCATTGGAGTGATCATGATGCTGGTTAGCGGAGACGGATGTGAGTGTCAGGAACGGGAACGCAACCGCACTACTGTACAGATCAGGAAGCGATGGAAGAGTTGAATCTGAAAACGAACACAACTGCAACTGTTCAAATTTCAGCATTTCGAACATTATGCTTCCCACCGAATGGCTCACATGACGGAGTTGGACATTACCAGGCTAGGATTATCATTTGCTGTATTTATGGATAGTCCTTGAGTTTTCAGATGAAGTGCTTTATCTTTTACCTGTCGTTCCTTTAGTGTGGCACAATGTCCATGGCTGCTTTCTTGTCTTCATAACAGACTGGTATAATCAGCATGATTCTGCTTCATTCATCGATCATGCTGACAAGAAAAGTACACTACACTGTCTACAGACGGTGTAGCCTGTAGGGTGCCCACAGTGTAGCCTGGGTGCACAGGGTGCACTTGCCCCGTCTCACTCGTGGCTCGGATCTTTGTGCAAGTCATCTATTAGATAGTTAGAGAGAGAGAGAGAGAGAGAGAGAGAGAGAGAGAGAGAGAGAGAGAGCATGTGTGAATGTATGCGAATGCCTTTGTGTGCATGTGTGCGTGTGTGTGTGTATGTGTGTGTGTGTGTGTGTGTGTGTGTGTGTGTGTGTGTGTGTGTGTGTGTGTGAGTGAGTATGTGCATTTGTGTAAGCCACTTCAAATAGCTGCGTGGTGTAGATCAGGCTGAATAGTGGTGGTGAATTCTTCAGCCTTGCAAGTTGTTGAATGGTGCAATGCCAGTCCAAGTTGCTATGGCCTCTGCTGTAGCACTTCCATCACTGCTCCAGTGTGCATGGGGAGAACAGCGGTACTAACCTGTTGTGCATCCGGTACTGCATCTGCTCCTCTGCTTGCTGTCTGCGAGTATGCTAGCACATGATACTGATCAGGCTGGGAGAAAGAGGATATCGTCCAATTTACCTGCGCGCTGTGACCATTCAAAAACTTCACCAATATATTTACGGTCTGACCCGGCTCTGGCATTGGTCACAAGAGTGCAAAACACACACACACACACACGCACACACACATGCACACACACATACACATGCACACACATACCCGCACACACATGCACAAACACACACACATAATATAACTCTGTTGCGTGTATGTATAATTGTATACCGATACTCATTAATTTTAACAGTTCAACAACAACACAACCAAGATCTCATTTGGAACTCGAAGTTTCATGCATTATGCAATCATCAGGCAGATATCTACAATGGGACTACAGCACAGCATATTGGACTTTTAAAATAAAGGTTCCCTGTGGAAGGTGTGGGTCCTAGCTGGATATATTGTTACAGGTATAGAACAGATGATGAGTGATTGGAGACAGCGCCAAAGTGCACTGGATGCTTCTAGTACAGCAGAGCCAGTGAGGGTCATAAGCCAGTATAATGCCGCATGCAGGGTGGTAAACCAGAAGCCGCAATCTATATCTAGGCGGGTAGTTGGCGGGTAGTTGGCGGGTAGCTGGCGGGTGGCTTGTGGGTAGTTGGCGGGTAGCTGGTGGGTAGCTGGTGGGTAGTTGGCGGGTAGCTGGTGGGTAGCTGGCGGGTAGCTGGCGGGTAGCTGGTGGGTAGCTGGTGGGTA